CTCGCTTCGCGGTGCTTCATCAAACGTAATTCACCATTGGATATTACGTGGAGGCCCGTGACGTTAATAGTTGTCGCGGCGGTGAAGTTAATTAAATTTCATTACAAATAATATTAGCGGGATATCGGACGGATATTTCAGGAATGGCGGAGAATTCGCTGTTGCGGAAAGTTGAAATTATAAAATCGGTGAAATTGTCTCTCGCGACTCTACACACGGCAGAAGGCCAGCCAAACGATTATTCTTTGTGTAATTAATTCACAATACGGTCGTTCCGTTGCCTTTTAAGCTCTCGCCTCAAAGCATCCAGCGAACGAGTGCATTGAATTCACATTGCACGAATAAAAAGTTTACGCGTGAAGTACAATCCTCATGCATGTAGAATTTAAAAATTTGCAAAATTTTGCACATATAAATCTACCTAGTTTTAAATACAATATACAATTATATGATTTATAATTGTATTATCCGTTAAATATATAAAAATACCAATAAATACCAAATAAGTAATATAAAAAATCATTTTTCGAACTCGAATTTCAGCGTTTACTTTTGAAATCAAAACAATGATATTCAATTTGCACGAAATCAAATTAGAATTCGAACTCGTTCTTCGTACCATTAATTTCATCATTTTTAGATTCTAAAAATCACGTATATCGATCTTCATCTTGTATATTTACGTTGGCATCCCTCAGATTTTCTTAATCCACTGCAGTAGAATAACTCGAGCTTTACGTCGTTTCGCAGAGAAACTCTGATGATCACAATTTTTGCCCTGAGTGGTCTTTTCAACCTCTGGTCAAATTCTATTATTCGATAGTTCATATTTCTGGTGCTTCGAGTCCCCGCCATATTTTCCAACAGCTAAGCAGAAGGAATATCGGTGGGGGACGAAATGGAATCTCGTCTGTGGGCTCGTCACGCACGACAGGAGCCACCAAAACTGCTTGGTTTTGCGAGGGTCGTCCAAGTGGAATAGGAGGGAACATACGGCCAAGGGCGAAATGTCGTCGAGGTCTGGTGGGATTATTTGCACATCGTGACGTTCGTGAGCTTTGCCAAAATCTCCACGATCGTATACATCAATCGTGGAGTCGTAAATCTTTCGGTGATTCGGGGTTACTGCTTAACCGCGCATTGCCTTGTGTACTTGTTTCAACGTATGCATATCGATCTTGATAAAAGGGATAAGTTGATTTTTGAAATAAATGCATTTTGAATGCACGATAGCTGCCAGATATTTCAGACTTCTCGATAATTTAACGTGTGTGTGTGTGTGTGTGTGTGTGTGCGCGCGTGAATAATTCTTCTTTTTCTTTGAAGAACTTTGATTCGTTCTTCTTGTAGAATGATTAATTTTTGGAATGATGAATTTGTTTAGAATTTATAAAAAAAAGCAGGCATCAAAACTTTTAATTAATCTTTGTTTCGTGTTATTTATATCTATAATGTATCTCAAATTATTAATTATTAATTATTAATTGTATGTACATATACTTTAACATATAACGTGTCCCATTTAAATCGATCTATTTGAACATCTGTCAAATTATCGATGATATTCAAAATAATAATAAGCTTAATAGTTTAATAGTTTTTAGAAGCAATTTGGCATTGATTAACTTTCTTCTTTATGGAGTAAAGATTTTTAAATGCTCCATCAATCCTTTCCAACATTTGCGTAGAAATTTATCGATTATCGATGAATAATCTTCTACTTCAAATTATATACAAATATTACATTACTCGTATTCCACTCGTTGGATAGAAAAATAATATTTATTTCTGAAATCAAAATCGTTTGATTTCCTTAGACTTCTACTACATTAACAAAATAGACACATCAAAAATAGATTTACGAAAAAATAAATAAACAAATATTAAAATCTAAATCTTGATCACTGTTCGAGCATTCGATTGGAACGATTAATAAATATTCGACAAATTGAAAGCTATCGCTTACTAAAAACTGCAACCTACATTTAAAATTACACGTTCCATAATCGCCATCGTGCATCGATACATATTTCAACTAATTATCCCCGGCCTGGGTGCTCGCAGTGCTGGTTGCTCCAACATTCGGATATATACTCGACGTGCGCTCTTTTAGAAACGAAGAACTGTTCCACGAAATTTCCATTCCCTCCTCCCCGATATCGTGTTTTCCAGAGATAAAGCTGCAGGCGATACGGGTATTAAGAATCGATGGGCGAAACGCTGGGCGCAAGATCACTGGATTGAAAATGACGTCTGGCATGACCGTTGCCTGGCTGCTGCTTTTCATACTACATTAGGATTCAACCTTTCCTCGATGGATTTGAAACGTGCGCCGATACGGGCGGAAAATTCATCCTCGTCCCGTCCTCGCGTGTCCCTCTCGCAGTTTTTTAATACCTTGCTTATGATTTATGTATCAAAATACATATTGCATCGGTTTCGCGTATTGTACGCCCGGTTATCGCGTATCGCATTAATGTGGACGGTTTGGTCTCCTTCAGGGAAATGTTTCTCGTTTCTCAACAACAGGATACGATATCACACGGTATATATAGATATATTTACATGGATGAATCGCGATGAGAGGACAAATACGAGCGGAATAACGAAATTTGTTGTTGTATTTCCTCCGAAAATGAGAAATTTATTTGCCGAGTCGAAAGAGAAGTTGAAATATCCTGGAGAGGAATAGAAGAATCGTGATTAAGAAACGAAGCACTTCGACGTACAAATAAATAAGATCGTACGAGTTGTATTTCTCTAGAAACACACGTATCCTTCACGTAATTTATTATAATTTAATTTATATAATTCTTGATCGATGTTCCGATTGAACTATATTGGAATTGAGAAGGGAGAAGCTGTCAATACTTCGATAGACATCGTCATATAAAGAAAAGGATAGTTTTTAATCGTTTATTATCTCCGTCATTCTCTCACTCTTCGATGTCTTAAATTTTACATTCTTTATATCTCAGCAACCAATTGGAAGAATATTGGAAGAATAATTTTAATAGCGTAATTTCCTCCATTTTCTGATCTATTTTATCGATGACTTTGCACGATGTAAAATTACACGAAGACTTAAATTTATTAATTTTAAACATCTTGAACGAGCAATAATAGATACAATCAAAATAAATATTATTTTGATATATTACGTCGAATAAAAATCCAATACAAAAGAAATTTAACGTTCGAACGAAAAACTTCTGTTAAAATATCCTTGTCTTGTTCTTTCGAAGCGTTCTCATTCAGGTTTGTCAAAAGCGTGAATTCATTTTGCAGAGAGAATTGTCGACGAGGAGGGCACATCCGCGGGGAAAATGATAGCGAGAAGCGGCGGGCAAGAGAGCGTTAAAGTCCCCGGAAAGAAGCGTGTTGGCGTAATCTTAAGTAATGCGTGCCATTCGTCAGTTGTTAAATTTTACAGTGGCCGTGCGACAAAGCGGGCGGCTGGATGTAGTGTTGCAAATCAGGAATTTGTCACGCGGAACCGCTTTTAAACGAGTGGTTTCAGAAGTCGCGGGCATCTCGTCTGATAACGCTTTTAAATTTTCGTTAGCGCCACGCTGCCCTCGTCTAAACGACGTAAAGTAAGAAAAACGGTCACACGGTGGGGATACACGTTTCCCCCGTTCCATTCGCCAACTCCCTATATTTATATCGCTCGTTCCATCGTGATCTCCTCGAATAGACCGAGATCCACGCACGTCTATGAACCATCCTACGAGTGGATTTTCGCGAACAAATGTCCCTAGAATTATCCAATGTTGCTCTATTGTAGCTGTATAAAGGAGTCACCGAGTCACGATGATGCCCCAGCAAAATTTATATAAGGGGAATTCTTGCTGCGAGACGGATTTTCTTGTCTGGAATAAAATTCGTGCATAGAAGATTTGTAATAATCGATAGAGGCACAGTAATACTGACAGTATCTTTGTAAATTTTGTACATAAACAGTCAAATTTGTTATACTCGATTTCTCGAATAATAACAATATATAAAATGTGCAATTCTTTTCCGTTAATCCACGTTAAAAATTATTCGAGGATAATTATTTATGTATTTATCAAATTACTCTGTATTAACGAGATATATATACATATATATATATATATATATATATATGTGTGTACAATGTTAAAAATAATTGGAGAATACGAAGAATTGCCATTATCTGTTCTAATTTCCCTCCATTAACAACCAGAACCATTTCATTCTTTATTTTCTCTATATATAATTTCCTTCTATTTGCTCAGCAGCATGAAATATGCAAATCTCGCACGGTGAACCGAGCACAGATATATAACCGGCCAATATTAACAGATACCTATCGCGATCATTGGACGGGAATCGAAAACGATAAAGCACGATACACCCACGAACGTATCCATTCCGTGCACACACACACACACACACCGTGGGCAAACAATAATTACAGAGAGTCGTGGAGCCTTGGACAAGCCCGAGAAAATTCCGATATAATCTCTAGAACGTGCGCGAACACACACACACACACACATCTCCGTTCCAACAAACGTTTGCTTGTTCCTTCTTTTATATTTCTTCTGTGTTTGCAATACCAGCATCGTCGCGCAAGATGGCCGGTTTCTTCGTTGTGCGCCCTCGTTGCCTCGTTTTATATTATTAAGTTTCTAACGTACTGAAAAGAGGCGGGTAAATGCGGTATCCAGGGATGGGGGACACAGGATAACACGAAGCAACGCTAATATTGCCGAGAATCTTGCCAAATAGTCGCAATAAGCGTCCCCCGGTTTCGGTCGTGGCTTCTTGCGACACCGCATTCTGATATGTTCTAGCAGGGGCCGGATGGTGGCGAGCAAATCCTGCTTCCTCCTTCCGAGTGATTATCAACCCTACCCCCTCGGCTTGCAGAGGTTAATCGAGCCACAGCGCGGGAAGAAATTTCGGCTTCATTGCCCGTCGAGAAACTCCTTTTCGCTCTATCGTGCACTCGCGATAAAGTCGGCTCGCCGATTATTTTCTCCTCTCCTGTTTCGAGGATGTGATTTTCTTTTGTTTTTTTCCTTTCTTTTCTTATACAAAAAAAAAAAAAAAGAAGAAGAGAAATCTCGTTATATCCCGCGAAATATTTATCGAGAAATAGGTATGTCGAGATCGTTGTCGAGAATGTCTGCTGGTTAAAAGTGTCGATATCGATGGAACCGATGAAATTTGTACCTGAGGTAACGCGAAATTCATGTTAATCGTGTATATATATATGTATGGCGTGCGAATTAATCCGATTACATTTTGAGCAACATTATTTCATTTTATTTTACGAATCATGTGGTTTAAATCGGTAATTTGTTCTTAATTAGTTTCTTTAGTTCGTTATTCCCCTTTCGATCAATTTAATCGTAAAAATACGTTTCGAATGACGAAGAAAAATTCACGTATCCTTCTCTATCGAATGTATAAATGTAATAACTATAAGTGTAACGACTTTTATATTAAAATAGATTTTTTTATCTTCGCGAGAAATACTCGAGATCGACTATCTCGCAGATATCTACTTACTTATCATTTTTGAATTATAACGTTGAAAAGTTAAATATTAGTCGTAAATTATTCGACAAAGCCGTTTGTGTAAGCACACCTGATGAAACAAATCTAAATACACAAATATAATGTATTTACAATGCAAAAATATTTATCATATTGAGAAGAAACGATTCAGAATATTAAACATCTACTCCAGGAAAATGATTTCATCAAAAATAAACATAATACTCCTCTTGAAAGTTATAATATAAATATCAGCACCAATACTTTTTTACCAAGACATATTAAAGATAAATAATGTCATTCATATTATTTCCTTTCTAATGATTAAATTTATTTTTTTTTCCCCTTCTACAAATGAAGTAATTCCGATCCAAAGAACTCTTGCAATTGTTAAACTTTCGGCCACAAAGAACAACGTTTTCCAATTTAACATTCCTCTCCAAAACGAGCAAACAACATTCGTGTCATACACGTTGCCATTTTGTAATATGCTCGTGATAAGCTCGTTATATCAGGATTTAATAACTTTGTCGCAGTAGTCACGATCGAAATTACCGATGCATTAATTCAATATCATAGTTTCTTCTTCCGATATCTTCTCCCGTGTCCACGCTCGAGTATAAAGTGTAGACTTGTTCTTTTGTTCCCCAGGGCTGGGCGATATTGCGGAAATAAACGAAGTTTCGAGCGAGCAGCGCTCGTAAATAGATAGAGTGTCAGAAAGTTTATTGAATCAGAGCCACGGTTTTCGGATTAATCCTGCGGTTCGGTGAGACGAAGCTCGTCGCGGCATTGCGGCGTCGACGGGAATTAAAATGCTCGAACCGAGAATTGCTCGAACGATTTCGCCGATCTCCTCGATATACACGAGGAGGATCGGTCGAATTACCGTTGTAAATACTTTATGGAAAACGATTTGCTTGATGCTTTCCCTGATAATTTCGATATAGACATCGTCGTTGCAATTTCTGTTTGTAAATTGATAACGGAGGAATCTCTTATTACATTGTTCCTATATTTAATTTTTTTTTCTTTGCGTTACTTTGATAACCGTTGAAAATAATCTTGTTGTAATTTGATAGATCAAAGACAGATAAATTATGGTGACAGATCATTATTTCTTTATATCTCTTCTGCTTAAAAGAAAAAATAGAGAAAGGGACGATTGAATTATATTAAAAAAAAATGGAAAATAATAATAGATAACGTTTATTCAATTGCTTGAAATGTTTAAAGTGAAATTATGGAATATATTTTATTATTTCCTTCCTTTCGTTTCCTTCTATATTATTCTTCCCTGACTAATTTAAATCTGCAGCTTGTTTCATTTTTATTCAACATTCTCTACATGCAACAACAGCAATAACTCGACGTCAAATGTAATCCAATGGAAATAATAATAAGGACAAATCTCGTATCTTATTTCGCTTTTTTCTTTTTATTGCCACTTATTGTCTTTTTCACGATAATTAACACGTCATTTTGACTATCCAAGGGATAATCACGCGATGATTTATTTTACAGGTTTTCGCGTAACCAGGCTTGAATATAACCACGAGATCACGGAATAAAAATAACCAGTCGAAAGAACCAGTGACAGAAAAGTTATTGGATCGTGTCTGCGATTTAATAGGATTATTGCAATGGCCAGTCGAAGGCTATCAGCTCACGGTGCGATGTCTCGAGGAGGCTCGAAATTAAACATCTCTCTCTCTCCTTCTCTTTCGCTTTCCTCTTCTATTCCATTCCAATGCCGTGTTGGGTAACTTTTCTCCCCTGGTTTATATTGATTTCTATCGATTTCGTCGCACAAAAGCAATCGATATTTTATACACTTTTCTCAGAATAAATCGCTTTACACGAGAAAATATTTAAAATATTGTATTTTTCTTTCATTTTTATCATTTTCGTCAAAATTCACGATTCCATTGGCCATCTATTTAAAAAATATCCAAATTGCAGCAAGTTAAACATAGTGTCAATTATATTAATCAATTATTTGTTGTATGATTAGTTCATAAATTCTGATGTAATAATTTTCTTCATATAAAAATACACAACCTTTCTTATTTCTCTTGTTGATATAAAAATTGTGAAACTATATCATAAACATTATTAAATAAATAAAATATAAATATGGAATTTTTTATTTCAAAGCATCCTTCTTGCATCTTAATAATTGCAACTTTTATGTAAATATATGATTTAATCTATGATTTGCAATATTGTCAATTTTTTAGAATTTTTAATGAACATTAACAATTAGTTTATTAATTAGGTATACAAATAATACGGATAAAGTAAGTACAATTAATCTGTCGTATATATCATATGCATTTATGTCACGTATTCTCATTATAACTATGCTCAAACTTTTATAACTCCAAATAATTTCAATATTCCTTTCTCTTCTTCCATTTTTACTTGCAAATTACGTTTTCACAGTTCTTCGTGAGAGAAGACGGAGAACAAAGAGACGAGTTACACATTTTATACGATTACATCACATATTTCGAATAGAATACATTTATTTCCCGTGTAAAGTTAATATACATTTCCTCCAATATTTTAGCATATATTTAAAATTCAAGACGGTTCGTAGACTGTTCAACATGCGACTACAACGATTATATATAGAAACTCAAACTTCTTTGAGAATATTGTAAAGGAAGACGCATTGTAATGTAGGAAGTATTACATGGAACCCATAATGCATCCCAAGTCGCGCGATGATCCTCAAATAAGGAATCAAAGTGTACCGGTTACATTCGTGATCCAATCTTTCACTTCCGTTATGGCTGTGAAAACGGTTGGATATTGCCATTCACAAGATCGACTCCAAGAGGTAATACCTATAAATAGCAACGTCCATGATCGAACTATTCAAATAAAACACGATTGATATAATTATCCACTTTTCAACGATGATTTGTCGCAAATATATCGAGTCCTCTGCTAACTTTTCTATTCAATGCTCGAATAATTTTACTAACCGTAACTTGATTTTCTCTTACAAACGTTTGGATCATTAATTCACATATTAAAAATTTGGAATCACTCATCCACTTTCTTCTCTTCTATGATATTTTCAGACAATCTTTCGAGCATGACAAGTGATCAATAATAAATTTCACCGAATATAATCTCACCGAATAACGCGCCCCGAAAAATGAGAGGCGATCCGGAATCCCCGACGCAGGGTCTAGCGGTGTCCGATAAGGCGCAAAACATCCTGTTTGTTAATAAGTCGCCGCCACTTGCTTCCTCGCAATCCTGGTTATTAATTTTCCGCATCGTGGTGTATAAAAGTTCGTTCGAGACTGGACCTAATAACTGTGATAAATGATCGTGTTACGAAACCTAGCGACCCGAAAAATCTTCGGTTCTTACCCTGGATGCACCCCAGCCGAGAACCAGAACCAGGGAATCGTCGTCGATCATCGAACGCGTTTTAGGCAATTTGATGGGTTGTTTCGTGTTGTCGTACGTTATCCTGTCGGAGAGCTACGGTAGCGAGGGTAGCAGAAGAAATATTACCGTATACGTTACGACAAATAATAAATAGTGAATCCAATCGATCGATTTATTTATAGGCGAGATGGAAGAAGTAATTTCTTTTATTGCTTTTTTATTGTTTAAATTTTCCTGTTTGGGATTAAGGTTTATTTGAAATCGATCAATTTCACTTGTTCAATCAATGGTAATAGAGATTTGCGTCAATGAAATATTTTGTCACGGATTTTAATTTTTTAAATATCTATGTCTCCTGTTAAACGATAGCAAGTATAATTTTTTGATATTTAGTTATTAAATTAAATTGAAAAATCGAATTACAATTTAACGATCGCGAATAAAAAAAAGTAATTTATCACTAATTAATAAGCAATATTTTTAATTTTTCCTTTCGACAATAATTAATGAAATATTTTTAGAATAGAGATATCAAAAAAGAAGAATTATACTTGATTTGACCAAATTTATATTTAGCAGAAATTTATCCTTATTAAAAATTCATAATAGAAAATTACGAAATAAGAAATCCTTGATGACAAATATTGACAAATATCGAACGAATGTCAAAATATGTATTTTCTCGTTGAAAAAAATATGACAAATATTTGGCAAACATAGAAGCGAACAAATATATAAATTTCACTCGTATTAGTAACAGATGCAGAGCACCAGTTACATCGAAGCATTTCCACATTATCGTGATATTTGCATACCATGATTAGATTCAAATATCTATCAAAAAAAAAAAGAAAACTTTACTTCATTAAAAAAATATTTTTTAGAAAAACATCCAAGAGATAGACACTTGTGCACTTTTTCGAAATATTGCATAGCTTTATGTAATTAAACCTTTCGGTGTGTGCGCGTGTTTTCAACGATCGTCTCGAGAACCTCGCGACAATTGCGACAGGCCACTAAATGCTCTCTTGAAGCGGACAGACACGCACGGTAACGAGACAAGCGAGA